TTTTTTTCTAACTTCGCCTACTTTAGTCTTTTTTGGGCTAAGTAATTTTTTTATTTTTATTCATTGTTTTGGTTTGTTTTTTTATATTTTTGTATTTACACATACCTTTTAATTTTAAATAAAAAGGTTTCTTTTTAATAAGTATATGATAGCATAATTATTAATAATTATGTTTTTTCAGTTGTAAAATAAACACTCGGCTGTTTTTTTTTTCAATTTAGATAGAATATAGTAATCAACCTGTGAAATCGAGTTAGAATTTACTCACGTAAAAATGTATAATCCATTTTCTTAAAAGCAACAGGTCAAACGGACTTATGGCTACCTTATGGACATATTGCTCAAACATTTTAAGACAAAGCAAATTCGCGAATTCTATTGTCAATAATGAATGACACGACAATACTACACGCTTGATTAAGAGAATACTTTATGGCTTTACGTTTAAGTAATATTATACATACCTAAATAAATCAATCAAATTGTTCGGTCTAAACATCAACATTCTGGTTTCAAAGAAGTTTTTATGTACTGCAATTATTACAAGATTCGACTTCGGCATACGGCTTTGCAGGCCCAATCCTTCCCCTCCCCCAATCACTCCCGAATCCCTTAATCTCCAAATCCCTAATCCCCAAAAGATCGGCAACGCACTCGTAACTCCTATGTTGCGGGTGTGCATGGGCGGCGCTGACTGCTTACCATCAGGTAATCCGTCTGCTCGTTTGCCAACCAATTTGCCAATTTTACATAAAAAAGTACCTTCTTGTTGATCTCGGAAAAAAGGGATCCATTCATCCCTAACAATAACTTCAAATCTATACGATTTTTAATCTTAACTGACTGAGGTCAACCTAGTCTTGAACTATGAACTACTTCTTCCCAACTTGACCCGAATGTCTTTGAAAATTTCAGTACCTTATATGTACTTTCTTTAAATTTTAAAAGACTAAGAGACCTTATACTGTTACCTTTATTTCGTTCGTTATACGTATATACATATGGACTACATATGGGTTACCTTAGTCTGAGTTTTTCATATTTTCATACGACTTTCGTTATAAAAGCTACAGTTATACCTAATTCACTTCAACCAAATCTGCCTCGTAGTTAGCTTGTTTGCTAACATATTCTAGAAAAAAAAAACAATCTGTAGATAACTATTGTAACAAAAAAAGAATACCAGTCACTCTTCCGAAAAGAAGTATAAACGTATAAACAAAGTATTACATTGACAAACAGCTTACGGTAGAAAGGAAACGCAACAGGTGACTGTCTAAGCAACCATAACCAGTATATGAAAACACTTTTGCTTTGACTTTGTATAGGAATAAGATTACAGTAATAAGCTCTGAATTGTCCTCGTGTTACCACAGTTTATGAAACAATAGTAGTCTGACGAACACGTCTAGACGGGCCAATAGGGCGGGGCGTATAACCAGACGGGAAAGCAATGTCCCAAGTTGCCAAGAAAACTATGCTTACGAGATTATTAGAACGATAGGGTTTTATATTTATGTGGGTACATAAATAACAACTCTTATACAAAATGAGGCAATTTTCCTCTGAATAATTATCTATATATATAAAAATCAATGCTAGTTATCGTTGTAATGTTATAACTCAACAATTGACTTTACCGATTTGGCAAATTTTCGTCTTGAATTATTCGTGGAAGAGGTATATACGTAGAGAAAATTGAAATCCACAAAGATGCGAGCGTAGCCGTTTGTTTAAAAAAAAACTCCGTTATTAAATAACCCTTTTTTGTGGGGAAAAGAAACAAGCTATATCTGTCTCACAGGGTAAAGCGAGAGGGAGTGTCAGACGCTTACTGACTAAAACCACCGCGTTCCTTTTCCTGCCCCAAGCCGAGGCAACGGTTCCTTATTGCGCTTGTCCTGCAACCTGGCTGCTGCCAGCTGGACATCGGCCTTATTAGGGCCTAACTATGATTATAGGAAAGCTAGATTTGACCTGTAGTATCATAGGCTACATCTATATCTATACTATGAGTAATATTATAAAGAGGTAAGATTTGTAATTTTGTAAGTTTGTATGTATTGGGTAATCTTTGGAACCGCTGGTCGGATTGGCAAAATTCTTTCACTGATAGATAGCTACAATGTTTCTGATTGCTATAGGCTATAAAAAATCACGCTACGACCAAATGGAGCCGAGCAGCGGGTGAAACCGCGCGAGAGTAGCTAGTTTAATAATTATCATATGTCCACTCGTGCGAAGCCGGAACGGGCCGTTAGTCATTTTATAATTTGGAAAATATTTGGGTTAATTCTAATAATTACTCTTGTAAATTAATACATGTTGATGTTATTTGTATTTGGGTCATATTTACTTAATGTATTCAACAACACCGCAACCCGCGGTACTGCGCGGTCTACTTAAGCCCATGTTAGATTATATCGTGGGCACTTGAATTGCCTTCTAGTGCGGGAGTGTCAGACTCTTCCTGGCTAAAAACTACGTTCTTTTACCGTTCTTTCTCCTGCTCCAGGGTGGACTTCGGTACCCGATACCAAACTTGATACCTATGCATGGTGACATTTATTTAGTAGAAAAGAGCTTAGCACGTGATAGCACTATAGTATCTAAAGTCTTTCTTTTTAATTGGACCAAATGCTGCTATTTCTTGCCTTTCTGCTGGTCTTGCAGGACAAAGTTTAAGGATGATGTGCTTTCTGGTTCACAAAGATTCAGAAAAACCCCTCCTTTTTGTCAGTTGCGGAGTTACCATGATCATTTCATCCTTGATGTTAAAAAGGTTAACCCAATTACTAATGATAGACGCTTCAATCTCATATTTTTATACAGTGGCATAATTTAATATTGCTCTTGTAAATGTAACGCGAAACTGCTAAGAACCTTCTAAGTAAATATAAAACTGTATATTTTACAAGTCAAAAATTGTTCAGATTTATCATTCAATCTTTTTAATCAAAAATGCTTTCAATGAAAAGTAAAAAAGCCTTTGATTTTTCGTCCGCTGGTTCATCAGATTAAGATTTCTAGAGAAACCTTTAAGTATATTGAAAGGTAACACGAAGATGTTATTTTAGGCGATTTTTGATACAGCCTGCCACTAAAATTGTTGATGCTCTGTCGGAATAAATATAGAAAAAAGAAATATAGAATAAACATATAATATTTGTATCAAACCGTTGCTTGATCCACAACTTAAGCACTACTAACCGTATCCAAAAAAAATTCTAGGAATTGCAGTCTTACTATCTTATTTGACTAGCTGCTTTCGCGCGGTTTCACCCGCTGCTCAGCTTCATTTGATTGTAGCGTGATGTTTTATAACCTATAGCACTCAGGAACATTGTAGCTATCTATATTATATCAGTGAAAGAATTTTGGCAATCCGACCAGCGGTTCCTAAGATTAAATTACCCCTTACATACAAACCTACAAACTTACAAACTTACAAACTTACACATTTTACCTCTTAATAATATTAGTATAGATTTTTAATTAACTTTACTTGTTGGGATAGTGACAGTCAATGCTGGGGTGATTCTCCGAAAAACTTTAACATTTATTTAACAATCCGTTCTCCTTCCAGGTCTTTAGGCATGTTAGTAATTGAAAATGATCCTAGCTTTATTGATCGGATAATTTAATAGCAGTGCCACGACTTCAGATTACGGATAATGACGACGTTAATGTTTGACAATTTATTTATTGTACAACAGCTTATCCATGTAACAGTTTGTCGAAGAACTCGACTATATTCCACACTAGGGTTTCAAAATCATGAGCAATCGATGCGGAGAAGGATTGTCTAGGATAACTGCTTGGCAGGGAACAAAACTATTAGTTATTCGTTAAGAATTAAAATTTATTTTAATGAGACACGATACCTATTTAGTGCGTACGTACCTTTTATTGTTGTTAAAAACAAAACTGGGATAAAACCAATAAAAGTTTAGTTGTGAGAGCTAGTCTAGATACGTCATTCCCAACAGAACTATAAAACGGACCTAGATGTGACGTCGCGTCGGCATCACCATTTATTATTCTATAAATAAATTCTATAGAAAAGTTTGATTAAGTATACTTAACCTATTTTTACCATAAATTATTGGCGCCCAAATTCGAAAATGGAATCACGAAAGTTTTTGTTGTTAAGTACTTTTTTTCTCGAATCGGTTTTGAGTTTTGTCGGCCATATTTTTTTTCAGTGAGGTCAGTGAGCGATTGTGTTATCGGATATTTCTGCCTAGATTTTTAATAAACATTTTTGTAAAATAAAAATGTTCGAAATATCTACGAAATAGAATATCATAATTAAATTAAAAAATAATTATTATTGTATTCAGCGAACTAACAATTTGTAGTGTCTATTGTCTATTATAAAATTGAAATCAGCGCTAAAAATTTCGAAGCTACATATAATTTGAATTTCGAATTTGGCGTTTATCTTTTGAATAGTTTAAGTACATTCTGGTGGGAAACTTGTCAGATTTTTTCAAAACTTGGTATCCAACATGGGACAGATATTGAGAAATTTGTAAAATGTATGTTAGTAGCTAGTAACAATACTATTACGTTCACTGTTGTTCTATTTTCCTTATGATTCTTTTCCTTACAGAGCCCATCTACGGGACATCCGTGACCGCTCTGTCCTGCGTCTCTTTGAGGCTACGGACATTGGAGGAGGAGCATTCCCAGGTGCAGTCGGCGTAGGGTCTTTGACCATGCCTCCGAATGCCGCCCCTCCTTGCTCCGGCCCTTCCAGCTGGGATCAAGTAAGTATCTTTATTAAGGTTCGATTTGATGCACTACCTCCTGTCTTGAAACCTGTGCTTCAGAGTCCTTCAAGACTTGAAACTACGTATGGTAATAATTGGTTAGATAGCTACAACCAAACAAAACTACTTTTGTTTCCATGCCCCCCATCTTTCAGACGATCTCCCGCTAATATCTTCACTGTTTTTAAACTCAAAGTCTCAATAGTACCCTGTTGTGTGTCCTAGGATCAGAGCTACTTCAGCGAGCCTGAGATAGACTCCGAATATCATCATCAGCACGTGCATAAGACCAAGGTAAGTTGGAGTATCAGCAGTATTCGTTCTTCAAATTGCAGGTAAGTGAGTTTAGAACCTCGGAGAAACATCTACGGCGGCGGTTAGGAGAAACTCTTAAGGGAAATAATTTAGTGTATAAAAGAAACGCACGAATTAGTACTTTATAGATTTATTTTCAAAAAAATGGTAACAAATCGGTAAGATGGTCTTACAAACTAAAGAGTAAACCTCGTGTAACGATTGAATCCTCTCCTTAAACTACAATAAATAATATACACCGAACGTCTTTCAAAAACCAATGACTAATTTATACATACGTCCCAGACAATCGCCTGGCAGCCTCAATCAATAAATTGTTGATTTTTATATAAAAACTAAAATATGTTATTAAAATATATTTAACACTTAAAGTAAATGGCGTTTTACGTACAGGTAAAGTTTTTTGAAAATCATTGCTTATTCTAAAATGGTTGTCTCTGCTACTAAAAAACAATATTGCTTTAGTCAACTCGTATTAATAAAACTTAATTAAAATACATGTATGTATGTACAATTTGATTAAAAATCTGTCAATGTACCGTCGCTTTTTGCGCAGGATAACTTACAGAAGGTTAATAAGGGCTATGCTTTGTACATAATAGTAGAATCGACGTTAGGTTAAAAGGCTCGGCAGATGGGTAAACCCTTGTAGTAATGGGCGCCGCTGTACAGTTTCTTCGGGGTCGCCCTCCAGGAGATGACGAGGGCCTTCTTGAATGGTTCAGGGGCACAACCGCTGCAGACTTGCATTACTGCCTTCACCTCTGCTTCGGCAGGCTCTCTTTCATCAACCTGCAAGTACAATTAAATTGAGTTTAATGTTCAGCGCATCTTCGAGTTTCTCTGTCGTTTCCCTATTTTGGTATTCATGTGTTTGCTTTATTGACAAATAAATGAAACATCGACTTTTTGATTTATATGCTTCGTATTAATCAACATCGGAAGGGTTTAATACTGTTTTATTGTGTTTGCATTTTTTCTCTTAATGTGTGGACGTAATCCGATTTTTTCGGTAATCTGTTTCGGAACACAGAAGTAGTACTACATACTATTTTATTCAGCTTGGTGCCTAGATTTATGTAATAGTTCTATTAGAAATATAGATTTTTTTATGTGCATATTCCAATCTCTCAACTCATGTCAGATAACTTAATTTTACACTTATCTACTTTTTTCTTTACTTTACTTGGAAATTTTAGTAGTTACTTCAGTTGCCAGGCAAATATTTTACCTACGTATAAAAGCTGACAATAACTCACTCGTGTCTTCTAAAATAAAATTTATATCTGCGACTTTATCTACATAGATGCGTTTCATAAAATAACGAGGATCTGTCAAACGCAATCATCTAGTTACTAGATCTAATTCAAATAATATTTTTTTGGAATATGTATAATTAAATTGAGTAAAGATATCACCGTTTTTTTAGCCACTAACTGCTGTAAACAAATCGTCCAGTGGGCGATTGATGTGCTAAAACAAAAGCACTCGAAACCCGCAATACTTACAGTTTCTTTTTGCAAATTCTGTACGGGAAGGTTTCCGACGAATCCGGCCAGGCCATTGAGGAGGGACTGTTGGAACAGGGCTTCATCCTCCTTGTTGTCGTCGATCAGGTCCGTACTCAACAAAGCCTCGTCGACAATTGACCCATCCGACAATGCCACTAAGCCTCTTTTATCTTTTTTACCTGGAATCAAAATTTTCTTTGATAATTTCGTTTGTGTGGAATTTTGATTGTAGCCATCTATTATTTTGGTAACCTCCTGACCATAATATTACGAATATATAATAATTATTACGATTTTCTATTGAAATACCTAATGGACCTAGGGTGTGTTGGTTCGACTACGACTTATCAAACTTCTCCCCTATAACTTCTTATAATTGAGAACTAAGTACTCGAAAATTAAAATTATTAACATTAAAACAAATGCGTTACAATTGTTAAAAAACACCTATATAGTTTTTTCGATTGATGATAATAGTATATACATATATAATATTATTATAGACATATAAAAGTTCACATTTGTATTACAAGGTAATTCGACTGGTTTCAAACCCCATAAGGAGTTTATAGTTCGTAGCATCGAGTAACTCTCGACGCGCGACCCGCGTGATCGATAACGACGACCGTAAATGATAACTAAGTTTTTCCATATCTTTTGAAAGTTTTTAGATATTTATCATTTGTTTTAATTGATTACCAAGTTTTTAATTAAATTAACTTAAATTAATAGTCCTAATCATTGTAATGAAAATTAAAAAACCATTAAATCTTTTCTTCTATTCAATTTTGATGTTTCTATTTGTATTACTGGGTCATTCGTATACATTTGATATTCTACCCGCACTATAATCAAAATGTTTGTATTAAGGTCTATTTTCGCTTCATATTTTGATTACGTTGGTAACATTAGAATCGTATTTGTTGAAATGTATATCTAGCGAAGGTTTTATTTGTAAATATTTGGCAGTGCCTCGTTAGCTTAGTGGGAAATATTGAAGAGGATAATAATTAAGGTCACTTGATAAAGGTATTAATAAACATATACAGGTAACGTAACGTGTTTTGTCTCCACAGACATCGAGACAGAGTTACATGGAAAACCTACCCAATGGCACATATTGGAACCATTGTTTTAGCAGGGTACCTAAACATCGTCAATATCGTCCCAAGACTTCCGATTTGTCTAACTATTATTAACAAGTGTGGGAGAGCCTTGCTTCGGCACGAGTCACAACCACAGCGTTGTGTTTCGCTGTGTGAGCGAGGTTACCGCAGGCTCAATCCTCCCCCTCCCCCAATCCCTCCTCAATCACCAAATCTCCAAATCCCTAATCAATAAAAGGTCGGCAACGCACTCGTAACTCCTTCGTTGCGGGTGTCCATGGGCGGCGCTGATTGCTTACCATCAGGTAATCCGTCTGCTTGTTGGCCGACCAATTTCATAAAAAAACCTTCAAAACTGTAGATTTATTTCAAATAGCTTATTATAAACACTTTAGACAAATTAACAAATTCAACTTTATGTGTCTGTCAGTATGTCCCCAAGTGAGCTTTGCTCGTTCCCAAATGTAGATAGATTATTTTCTTGTGCTGAACCGGGCCGGTTTAATATATTGCGCTTATCATGGCAATAATAGCAGGGTTATTTAGATGGATACTTAGCTTATAAAATGTCTCGTTTATCGAGTGATCCTAATAACGGCTACCAAGTTAAAGGGACTACACTAGAAACGTGCAATTCCAGATAGGTTTTCCAGCGCTTTCAGGTTTAAAAATAAAAACATCAATTATTCAATGAACTAATGCCTAAACGAATAATAGATGCGGTTGGATGGGTTCAATATTGTTTATGTAGGTATCGTACTATTATTAAAAACACGAAACTGTGGATTATTTAATTATTTATTATATTATCTAATAGATTGTAAGCAATCAACGCCGCCCATGGACACCCGCAACGGAGGAGTTACGAGTGCGTTGCCGACCTTTTAGGGATTAGGGATTTGGAGATTTAGGGATTGGGGAAGGGTCCGGGAAGGGGAAGGATTGGGCCTCCGGTAACCTCACTCACACGGCGAAATACAACGCTGTGGTTGTTTCACGCCGGTTTTCTGTGAGGCCGTGGTATCACTCCGGTCGAGCCGACCCATTCGTGCCGAAGCATGGCTCTCCCACACTTAAGTTGTAGGTTGGTACTCTTTCACGTAAAATCTGATGAATGGATCTGTATGAAATTTGGTATAGTATAGGGGTAAATTATGTTGTCTGGGATAACACATAGGCTACTATTTACCTTGGTACTGTGACTACAAAATTAATAATATCCTGTCTTTTAATCACATGGCAGAATTGCACTTACATAACCTTATTGAGCAGTTAGAAATAATTTGGTAAATATATTGCTAAGGATAGTTGAACCAATTTCGATTTTATTTCCCATTGTGTGGAGAAATTTCTCGGTCCGGTGGGGTAGGTAGGTAAGATAGGGTAGGCCCTAAGCCATTGCTAAGTTAGGTAAAGTACTCCTGTAGTTAGGGTCCTACTCTACTATTGGGAATGGTATTGCGAGGCGTGCGCTCCGCAAGAAAGGCTGCCAAGGAACGGGGGGTTTTTAATCAGTAAGAGTTTGAAACTCACTCTCGCCATACCCGGGATAGAAGTCATTGAATAACTTTCCCCTCTTAATAAACCCATCACTTAGTTACGCATGGCCTTAGGCCGCATAGCGTGAGCGGAGTAATGAGCATTTTTGAGTTTATAAATAGCTGAGCTGACCAACAAGTTGATGGTTCAAATTTCAAAAAAAAAAGAACTAGGTAGAGTAAGAGTAAGGCTGAGTAGGGTAGGGAAGAGCGGGACTGAAGCCGCGTAATTTCGTTTCAAGGCTAACCCACATTGTACATACATGAATCCCTATTAGTTTTAAAGAGAAAATATTAGAATTGTAGCTGCATTGAATTGATATTGTTCTCATGTTGGAAACCTTCAATGGATTTTATTGTCATGGTTAAATACAAGATTGTTTTAAAATGAAAAATGTTTGTATTGCAGTCTTGTATTTAGATGTAAAGAAACAATAAAAAGAGGATGTTTTCTAACCTAGTTTACAAAGTCTAATTTATGTGTCTTTAATATCTTTATAAAAAATGTTATTTGGTTTATAGATCGTGTCTCGTGACTACTTTTAGAAACTAACGAATAAAATTCGTTTGTTTAAACATACTTTAAAATACTAAAATAACTTCACACCCAGACATGAAACAACGATTGGTAGATCACACAAAAAAGTCCTTGCGAGAATCGTCCCCACGACACACACAACTTTTGGCGGTAAAAATTTAAAAAGGATCTACGAAAAGCCACTTATGTCGCTGGAAAAAAATAAATGTCTTGCCGAGTGTCTTAAAATAAATTTCTTAATTCATTCACATTCCCAATTGCAACGGATAGGTGGCAAAAGATACATAGGCCTCAATAATTGGGTTAAAATAGGTACTTCTAACTTACCTACCAACTTACCTACCACCTTACCTTCAATTTTTAAAAGTGCTTTATAAGTTCAAATGATTGATTTAATTCTAATTCCGAACTTATATCCCTGCTTATCTCCTTTAAAAGACTAGTGATATTGTCATAAATATCATATCATATTTTTTAATAGGTAAGACTTCTACCTACTCTTGATATTAGATGAAAAGGAATACTGATGTCCTGCTATAACAAAATACGTTATATCTGCGATGTGGCTAGAGTGACTCATCCTTGAAGCTAAATATCGCGTTGCTTTGAAACAGTGACAAATATTTCACGTCAAACCAACGTGTTCATTACGTGTTACGTATTAGTCTTCAGCAAACAAACACCCACGCAATTTCATTTGCTTTGTTGCGTTGTTATAACGTAAAGCTACATATTACAAAGAAACATAAGACCATATTAGTTAACATCTATTTCATGACTATCTTTAAAACGTCCACTAGATGTATAGATACATAGGCCTTCCTGATGACCTTCAGATACATTCACCGGTTTTCTACGACCTTTTTTGGACTGTCGTCATCGTCCTTTAAAAGCCTAAATTCGCGTGTCATATGTACAGATCTGTACATGCCATGGTAGCAATTAGAAATTAACGAATTTTGTCAACCGAATTTTACTATCGTCTGCAGTTTCATTTACCAAATATCTTCATTGACTACAATCATGATCTTCTTTTTAAACTACACTTCTTAATGTTAAAGGTTGCATGAAAGAAAAGCTTATGTAATATAATATGGGTAATAAATAGTACTAACTTTAACTTTAACTTTACTAACCTGCAGCATGTTCTTCCTTCAACTCTTTCTCAGGGTTGTCTCTCTTATCACGCTTAGAGTTCCTCTTGAACAGATTGTGAGAGACAGTGTCATCGATGTATTTCACATTAGCTGGGTTCAACAAGGAACCAGACAATACTACGGTTGTGCCCTTTGAAGGACCAATAGGTGACCTTGGGAATCCTTGGCTTTGTCCAAGCTGACTAAGAGATGACAGAGGGGCTCCAGCACCCAAATGATTAGGCAAAGGCTGAACGCTGTTCAATAACTGTTCCGAGACGAGTTTGTTTGAAAGTTGTCCGTTGATGTACTCTTGCTGAAGTTGAAGGCCATTGGGAAGCTGCACAGGAACCATTTGTTGAGCCCCAGCCAAGTTTAGGGAAGGCGCTCTTTGCAGCTGGCCACCGATCAAAAAGTTTCCATTTCCGAGGGGAGTGGCTTGTGGTGGAGGAGGTTCAGTCGCTGCTTCAGTGGAAGATTCAATTGGAGTGCCATCGTGTTTGAAGTGGTGTACGTGGTGATGCTTGTGGTCCTTGTGAGCCTTGCCAGCAGTTAACGCAACGTGGTACAACTGGAGCATTGTGATTTCACCCATGAAACCGGATTGTCCTGCAATTGGATCGTTACGTTATGACACTGTACTTATGTTACGTAATTTTAAAACTGCTTCATATTTCGCCACTTACTTGCAACTGGTTCTATATTCTCTTTATTGTAGAGCATTGTTTGATCCTGGCCAGAAATTGCCAAACCGCCTCCCTTAATGGTGTGACCGACGAGCTGAAATAAATTGGATCGATATACATATTTGTATGGGCTGTCGTACATTCTGTTGTTTGGTAATTTTATGTTAATGATGCTTACTCTGTTGTTGAATCCTCTGCCGACACGTTCCGCGTTCACCCAGATTTGCCACTCGCCAGTTTTTCCGTTCCATGATTGACAGGAGTGATACCATCTGTGGATTGTTGTGTGAAATGATTAATGAAGGCTTCATTAAACAAGTTCTTGACAGCTGTCATTGTTATTCAATAGGTTAGTGTTTAATTGCCTACGCTAATTATGTAGGTCAACTATATGCTTTAGTGCCTCTTGTATTAATCAATTACGATTATTATTAATTCATTTATAAATTACTAGTAACTCCTATAGCATTCAGCTATGTAACTTTGACAGATATTTAAATACAAACAACGCCTAGTGTTTTACTGTACCGAATATTTTATTTTGATGCCGCATTATTTACTTGAAAAATAAACGATAATTTCAAGCGCCTATAAATAAATTGACTGCAAATAAGTTTATTTTAAAATTTAAATTATGAGGATAAATAATAAAATAGACCATTAATTTGGAATACATTTAACAAATATTATATCATTGAGATTTATATTATAACGCTATCAAGTTATGAATGATATGAACAGTTATCATAACAAGTTTCGGAACTGAACAAAGTTTAGTTGCTTAAATATATTTAATTGCTTGTAATATTAATTCCTATGTAACGTTTCTGAGTTACACACCTCATAACACACTGTCACAATGTTTGCAAGGTGTAAAAATAAGGCAAATGTAATTGGAGAAATTAAATTTAAAACCAAATATATATCCTGTTATTAATTCGGGCTAAGGTCGGGTTATAGTTTAAGGGTATTATTAACACTAGTCAAGGATTCTAAAAAAATGTGAAAATCACAAAATACAGATAAGTACATCATTTTTTTCCTTGATTAGTCTAGTCATTTAATCGGAAATATAGGTGTATGTAAGTACCGTTTTTAGAAATACAGTTTTTTTAAAAAGACCTTTTTTCCATCAATACCTTTTTAAAGGATGTAGGTATCACAGTCGTGCCATTGCGCCCACGTGGTGTGGCATTTACCTCAATGTCTTTTAAAATGCACCTTTTTGCGGTGTTCTACATATTTTACACAAAAACTCTAGATCAATTATAGAAAATGGTTCTCTTGACATAAATGTTATGTTTTGCTGGCAAAATGCGTCAGAAAGGAGATATTGTAATAGAACTGTAATTAGCCACGTGGCGCGCTTAGGTATGAGGTAGTAAACTAGAAGTTCAGAAAGGGCACATAAAAATCTATCAGATTGCCAATTTCCAAAAACACCCGGAAAACTTTTCAGGTTCAACTAAACTCCCGGTAACTTTCGAGGTTGAACTACCGATTGACTGGACTAGAATTGAAAAATGGAATGTGGAATATGCCACGTTTATTAAAAACTAAAACTTTTAGTAAACATCACGGTCACAGTGACAGGCCGTAGACCAGGAAAATAAAAAAAAAATAATTTTCGAGGTAACTATGAACTATTCTGATTGGAACGTAAAAAAAAAAACGAGTTATCTATGGTCATAGTTTATTCGTGGGTCAAATATCTACTAATAGTGGGTTCCACACTATGACCCTCAACTCTTGGTGAGTTGAGGGTCCTGATGCCTGACTAGGTTTGGTTCGCTAGGTTTAATCTGATTTAGACATTCACTGAGTAATGCATCAAAGTCTTTTTTCTCAAGGCTAAAGCAATATAGATTTTGTATCACGAAGAGTATTATCAAACTAATATAACATAAGACTGCACATGTTTACTAAACTAATTCATCACCATCAGCCCATAAGTGCCCTGAGCAAAGGCCTCTTTTCACACGGAGAAGGTTTGAGCATTAATCACCACGCTTGCTCAATGCGGGTTGGCAATTTCAAACTTATAATTAGAAATTATAAGTCTAGGTTTCCTCACGATGTTTACCTTCACCGTATATCAGTGTGGTCTAAATAATCATAGAAAGTACATATGTATAACTCGAAAGAAGTCAAGAAAAATTGGTCCTTGCCAGGTTTCGAACCCACACCCTCATGAGATCTCCTCCCTCATGAAAAGCGGGCTCCTTAACCTCCGGGCCACCACGACTTCTTACTTCGACTAAACTAATTACAATATAATAAATGACTGTAGCTTGGGTTCCGTGGTCTCATCTGTGTCTGCTGATCAGAAAGTCCTTTGTTTTGAAGGAGAAAAAATATCAAATGGCTTCTGCCTATAAAAAGGTCTGACTCTTACTGACTAATGTTTTCTCCTTTTCTTAGCCTGCTCGGGTATATTGCATTTTATCTGCAACCTTGACTAAGCATCAACCCTATAGTGAGCCCCGCAGTCTAGGTATTGGTGATCCGACGGCTTTGCGATTCTGCTATATTGGCCTAATATGATCAAAAGGTCGTGGAAACGACGCTTAAGGCAGTCGAGGTCCCTATCCGACAGGATTCAATATAATAAAAATGAAATTCAAAAACTGATTTTAAAACCTATTCTAGCTTTTCAGGAAAATATGCTTCGATAATATTTTTTATTCGAACCTCTCCGAACCATGAAGCACTTACCATCGTTATTAGATTTCTAGGAAAAATGCCAAATAGAATTATAGGAAAGAAATTTAAAGAGGTTCAAAAATATGTTGATATAAAATTCAGTGAAAGGGCGATAGCACTTTTAAATTTCGAATGTGCTAATGTGGCTATAAAATGTCGTGTTTTAGATAAAAATAATAAATTTCATATAAAGTCATTTAAAGATGTCGAAAAAATATAAAATGAAGACGAGCCCCGGTGACTGATTAAAATTAAATTTCTTGCGACACTAATGACATATACCTACCAATGTTGCCACTTTCTTGTACTTCGTTGACCCGCCAAATGAATGAATCAATTTCATCTCACAACTTACATAATATCATGAATTTAACATTTTCGATTAGTAATCCCGTATTATTGATCACCTATTACAGAAGATTTTCGCAATACAAAATTATATTTTCCTTCATTAGTAATCTTACTATAAGTGGGAGTATGTTTCATTTTGATTGTTTACGTAATTTTGTTAATATGTGTCATATGATAATTATTAGAAACTTTTAATATGTCATAAGTATCGTGTCGTCAAGCATCAAAGGTAATTAGGCAAATTGACGTCTCGATAGTGTTGGTTATGAACCCCTATCACGGCTTGAAATAAGTCTAGAATCTTCTGCCAGCGGTTCCGCCAAAACTTATTCTAGACTATAATTCATCTCTTTGCCAAATTTCATTTAGTATTGTTTACGTAAAAGGGTGAAAGAGACATCCGTCCATCTAAGAAAGAAAGAAAGAAAGAAAAAAACATTTATTCTTGCGCAAGCGCACACACATAAAACTAAAATACAAAAAAAGAAGAAAATAAAATATCTATTCTATCAAGGTTTACCAACACCTTCACATTTGCCATTAATTGTCAACCGGCATTCACAAAATATGTGATCATCAGAAACTTTGAAAGCTTTACAAATTTTCGCGATTATACATTACATAGGCAGGATTCTACTTCAGCTTGAACATATGTATATGAAGCTTGACCGTCTCTTCCATGAACAATTAGTATCTAAGCTAAGATAACACCAGTAGCCACTATACCACTCTATAGGTACACAAATTACATAATGTGCATACTAGAAAATACTTGAATAAACACAGACTGCCGTTGCAAGCTAAGGACAGAAGCATTCGTCTGGATATTAAGCTAACAAGTCGCTTTTAACGCTTGATATATTTTGGCAAGTACTCGTGTCTCTTACTTATACGGATTTATCAAATTTTATTAATAATATACCAGGCGACAAACGAACTTACTGATCACCTGAGGCTGATGGTAGGATCCAAAGGTAAGGATATCAAAGGAGTTGGTTAAAACACAATACCTACCGTTTGAGGGTAGTTAGGGATTTTAAGACTGAGGGATTGGCGAATTAACCTCACTGATACCACGAAACCGAACGCTTTTTTGTGGGGCAAAAAAAGTCAAATGCAACTCTTGCCCAAGATGAGGCGAGAGGAAGTACAAGACCACAAGACACTTTACTAAGAAACCCCGCTTCCATCTTCTGCTCGAGGCCTAGGTAACTCCGTCACGAAACATAACGCTGTGGTTGTATCGGTTTCGTTTTCATTTTTATATCGGTTTTCTGTAAGGCCTTGTTATTGCTCCGGTCAAATTGACCCCTTCTTACCGAAGCATGATAGTATACGAGCTTCTCAATCATTATCTAGGTATGCTAAGGAGATGGAATACCTATTACTTGCACAAAGCAAATTAATAGGTCGTCTATCATCTAATTTTATTGAACTAGTGAAACGTAATGAACATTCCTGTCTTACAATAATTTAATTATTAAGATCATGTTTGATTTTCCATAAGGTAACATTTTAACTTTTAAAATAATGGCCAGTATTCAATATAAAAATGATGGATAAAAGTAAAAAAAATGCTAATAAATTGAATTGAACATTACAGAATAAAATAATTAAAAAAAATATTCTAGTAAATAAATATAATTTGACTCATTGCTTGAATAGCAATTTTAGAACGTAATTTGTATGAACTATATACCAAAAAATATATCATACGTTCATCGTTAACTTATTAGGGAGGTGTTGAAACAACCCTTTAGTTTAGTAAACTATTTACTATACATATGTATGTACAACTATGTAACATACAACCAGGACAATAATCTCAGAGCGAGAGTCGTCGTACTGAGTTAGTATAAAAATTTGCATGTCACAATAAAAACAATGATTCACAAATCAATATCATATGCAAAAATCTCTAGAAACAGAGTCGACTGGGAAAGTATTCTCAGGCGCATTGCGTGTGCATAGCCGTTACTGAGGAAAAAAAGAAATTGTCGTGCGTGGCTACCATTGTGAACACGTTATATAACACTTGGATGTCAATTGAATAGATTACTTAGAAATCCGGTAAATCATGAGCTTCATACGTTTATTGTTTGTTAAGTTCCATTGTTTTTTTGTATTCCACTTTATTGTTCATGAGGTCGCGTTGTTAATGATGATTGTGTTGCTTTCTAGTTTCCTGTGGTTTATATATAAACGTAGACTTAACCAA